CTCTTAACCTAACCCTAAACCTAACCCTAAACCTAACCCTAAACCTAACCCTTATCCTAACCCTAACCCTAAACCTAACCCTTAACTTAACCCTAACCCTAACCCTTAACCTAACCCTAAATCTAACCCTAAACCTAACCCTTACCTTAAGTTGAATCGGCTTAAAGCGCTATTTAAAGCGCCCTTCTTTCTCCGCGCTCGCTGTTGTCGCCCTGTTGATGACGTCAGCGACGCGGTTTAATCGGGCGCGCTTTAGTCGAGCGCGGTTTTGTCGTGCCACGGCCAGCCGGCATTGGCTGGCAGATGGAACCCGGAGAAGGCCGAGCCTGTGCGATCGAATTGGTCTTTGGGAGGTAATTGGCAGGAGGTGGTCTAGGTTTCATCTGGTCATCTTAGATGTAAGAAAGAAATCAAAAGATTTTTACAGCCCTTGGAGGCTGAGTAAGATCAATAGAAGAAAAATTTGCTGGGTTGAACTGTGGAGTTCTTGGTGCTTTCTAAGCTTGCTGGTTTTCTTGCAAATGTCTCATGACCCAACTAGGTAATGTCATCAGTGCTAGAAGAGTTGGGTTTGCAGAGAGGAGGAGAGGGGAGGGAGGGGAGGAAAGAGAAGGAGAATTTCTAAGCAAATTTCTTCTAGGTAACATCAGTGCTAGAACAAAATAGGGCTTGCTGAGAGGAGGAGGAAGAAGAAGAAGGGGGAGAAGGAGAAGGAGGAGAAGAAGAGTAGAGTCCGTGGTGCTCTCTGAACGTGGTGGTTTTCTTGCAAACATTTTATGATCTAACTACATAACGTCATCAATTCAGGAAGGGAGTGGGATTTACTAGACCCACTCCCTTCTAGCCCCGATGATGTTACTTAGTCAGGTCATGAAACATCTGCAAAAAACTTACCAAGCTCAGAGAGCACCAAGGGCCCCACAGCTAAGAAATATATTTCACAAAATATAAAGTACAAATAATCATTCATTCATTTGCTGTGGATCCTCCAGGTAGACAATGGTGAACAAATTTGCTTAGAAGTTCCAAATGATGGTTGTGTCTGATGCAATTTTACAATCTGGAGCTGATGGGAACTGGAGAGGAAGGCCACTTTCATTAATGTTTTCGGTAACTAGGAGTGTCTTTGATTAATGTTACCAGTTCTTTGAAGTAACACAGTAGGCGCTTATGAGGAATCATGAATTCTGATAAGAACCGTTTCAAACCTGTTAAAGACAAGCAGTGTTGCGGTTAAATTTTTTTTTACCACCGGTTCTGTAGACATGGCTTGGTGGGCATGGCAGAAATGGCAAATCCCCATTTCCTCCTGATCAGCTGGGACCCGGGAGGCAGAGAATAGATGGGGGCAAGGCCAGCCAGAGGCGGTATTTACCGGTTCTCTGAACTACTCAAAATTTCCACTACTGGTTCTCCAGAACTGGTCACAACCTGCTGAATCCAACCTCTGAAGACAAGGATTGTACAAAGATTTGAACTCTAGTAACCTGCCGACATATAATGCCTCATGATAGGTAGTCCTTGACTTACGACCATTCATTTAACGACATTCATTTAATGTTTTCAGTTACAACATCACTGAAAAATGGGTTGCGGTCGTAACAGGGAGGGGCAGATACGGCGGGGACTTTAGGGCNGAACCGCTGAACTGCAGATAACAGTCACCTGAAGTGGCCTGCATTACTGCACTCTAACCACTGCGCCATCTCGGCTCGACTTGATCTCCCAGTCTTCTGGTGTTTGTCCAAAAGTGACCCAGTTTGCCTTCATGCCTAAGGTTGGACTAGAACTCCCAATCTCCCAGTTTCTAGCCTGATGCCTTAATTACTAGACCAAACTGGCTCTCATAAAAGAAGCCTGGGGTTTTACTTCTTCAGTTTCCAGGATTCTGTATCCCATTTTTCCTAGCACAAAATTTGGTTTATGAGACTTCTTTGACACTTGCTTCCTTGGTTGAGGATTGCTTTGTTGAGGATGGTCAACGTGTTTTGACATGACAGGTAAAACCTGAAGCATCGTTTCAGTCAAGAGGTCCTTTGATTTCGGCTTTTCCTTCAAGTTGACCTCTGCAGCTTTAATAAGGGCAGTCGTTGACTTAAGATCCAAAATCGACCCCAAATTTTCTGCGGCTAAGTTAAAAATTTGTTAAGAGAATTTTGTCCCATTTTACTACTTTTCTTGCCGCATTTGTGAATCATTGCAGTTGTTAAAGTTAGTAACCCGGTTGTTAAGTGAATCTGGCTTCCCCCATTGACTTTGCTTGTCAGAAGGTTGCAAAAGGGGATCACGTGACCCCAGGACACTGTGACCATCATAAGTATGAGACAGTTGCCAAGAGTCTAAATTTGGATCACGTGACCATGGGGATGCAACAACGGTTGTAAGTGTGAAAAATGGACATAAATCTTTTTTTTCAGTGCCATTGTAACTTCAAACGGTCACTAAATGAACAGTTGTACGTCCAGGGCTACCTGTAGCTAGAATATTATAAAAGGGAACAGAAAATCCTCTAATCTATGAAATTTGCATCAAATGCAACATTTTTGTTTCTTGCAGAAAGTCCAGAATACATCCTGGTAAAATATAGGTAGTCCTTGACTTAGACCCATTCATTTTGTGACCATTTAAAGTTACAATGGCACTGAAAAGGAGGCTTGTGACTGGTCCTCGCACTTACAATCATTGCACCATTTCCCACAGTCAGTTTATCAAAGGTTGGGTGCTTGGCAACTGGCACGGGTTTATTATGATGACTGCAGCTTCCCGAGGTCATGTGATTGCCATTTAAATCTTCCCAGCCGCCTTCCGACAATCAGGGGGTGGGGGAAGCTGGATTGACTTAATAACCCTGTGATCCACTTTAAAACTTCAGTGACTCACTTAATAACCATGGTAAAGGTCACTGTCATTGGGCAAGACTCATTTGCAAACCTTCTTGCTTATTAGCAATAAAAATTCTTATCCCAATTGTGGTTGTAAGTCGAAGAATGCGCTGTAGTCAACTGGGACCAAGCCCACAGCTGAATTCCACTTGTGATAGGCTATGGGTGGTAGTTTGGGGCCTATGTTGTCACTGTCACTGATGGATCTGGTGGCTCTTGTAGAAGTGGACGTCACCATCATCCGGGGACTGAAAAGTGCAGAGGTTTTGGAAGAGGAAGAAGTCATCTTTGAGTGTGAAGTCTCCCACGACAACGCGAAAGACGTAGAGTGGAAGTTGCAAGATTTGTCGCTTCAAAGCAACCAGATGAACGAGATCTCAGTCGAGAGAGGACGGGTGCACAAATTAACGCTCCGCAACGTCACCCAGCAGGATTCTGGCACAGTCACCTTCCGGGTGGGACCGTACACCTCCACAGCGAGGCTCAGAGTGGAAGGTAGGGTGATTTCTATCAAAAGCATTGTGATCAGAAGTGGTTAAGTGTTTCCCGTTGTTTTTGATGGGTTATGCAGAAGGGGATAATGTCAGAAAAACAGGTAAAGAAAATGACAGTAAGAACAACTTATCAGTGGAACAGCTTCCTTTCAGAAGCTGTGGGAGTTCCATCATTGGAGGTTTTCAGGAAGAGATTGGACAGCCATTTGTCTAGAATGGTATAGAGACTCATGTTTCAGCAAGGGGTTTGACTAGAAGACCTCCAAGGTCCCTTCCAACTCTGTTATTCTGTATTCTTATCAACAGATGAACTGGGCTCACACATATCTATTCCACCTATGTTTATTTATTTAATTAATTGTTTTAGTTTATTTAGTAAATTTATATGCTACTCATCCCCCTATTGAAGTGGTTCTAGCCAAACTGTCAAAAGATAACTAGAAAAACTATTAAAACTTTTTTTTTAAAGCTATGCAAATTCTAGATAAAACAGATAACATAAAATCTATCAATTATCTGTCTGTCCGCCCACCCTCCCTCTCCATCTCTGTCTCTCTCTATCTGTCTCTCTCTCTCTGAATTAAAAAAATTGAGAATTTGGAGTTACACCAACACACAGAGAGAACCAACCTGACACACACACAGTCACACACACACACACACACACACACACACGTCTGTCAGTCACTGAATTTGGACAAGAGTTTCTATGTATGTCTGTGCCTATCTCTCTGTGTAATTCCGACCTCTTATTTTTTAAAATTCACATGTACCTAGAATCTAAAATCTTGCTTCCAAATTAGGATTTCAGTTTAAATCCTGTCTATACGAGAAGTTTGCAAGTGGATTTTGTTTTTGGGGTTATTTTTAAACCAGTTCTTGCAAATCCCCCTCCCCCCCGCTTTCCATTCCAGCCCCGCATCCTGACTTTCAACAAGAACTGAGCAACCTAGAATTGCAAGAAGGCAGCGCAGCTTTCCTGAAATGTGAAGTATCTATGCTCAACGTCTCTGCCATCTGGAAAAAAGGCTCGGAAGTCATTGTTCCCAGCGCCAAGTACGAAATCAGTCAGCAGGGAACGACCCATATTTTAAAGATTTATGGTGTAACTCGAAGAGATTCTGGAAAATATATCTGCGACATTGGCCATGGGAGAAGCATGGCCACATTATCGGTGGAAGGTAAAAGGTTTATTAATCAAAACTTGGTATACAGGTAGTCCTCAACAGCTCAATTAGTGACTGTTTGAAATTACAAGAGAACTGAAAAAGGGGGCTTAGGACAATTTTTCACACTTACAACCATTGCAGTCACTCCCACGGTCACATGATCAGACCGTATTTATGAGGGTTGCAGTGTCCCAGGGTCACGTCATTCCCTTTTGCGACCGCCTGACAAGCAAAGTCAATGAAGCGAGATTTGTTTAACAACCGTGATGCTAGCTTAAACAAGTGCACTGATTCACTTACCAACTAGGGCAAGAAAGCTTGTAACGGCAAAAAAAATCACTTAACAAATGTCTCACTTAGCAACAGAAATTTTGGGCACGATGACGGTTGTAGGTCGAGGACTATATCTATAGTTGTGGGAGTCAAGCTAGATTTTATGATGTTGTTGTCAAGCAAATCACTGCAGTTTCAGTGAGTGATGTGGATCATTACAATGAATCTGTGTTTCCCATTTTGCACGTTGGAAGATGGCTAGGAAGTTTGCAAATGGCAATTGAACCCAAAATTTCTGTTGCTAAGCAAGATGGTTCTTAAGTGAGTTTTGTCCCACTTTCTTGCCCCACTTGTTAAATGAATCCCTGCCATTGTTTAGTTACGATTGTTAAGTGAATCTGGATTCCCCATTGAGTTCGCTTGTCAGAAAAGAGGATCACATGTTGGGGATTACCTTTATTTTCTCTTAATTATTTTTTTGCCGTTGCTTAACTCGTGGGTATCTCTGAGATATGGCTGCTGTTCTTCAGAACAATAGTTGAGCCATATACTTTGCTTCAGCATACATGTGCACAATGTCATTTATGTGTGCAAAAGAGGGGGGAGGGTTGTGCTGCATGGGTATGATGTGTTTTTAGCATTCTTTACCATAGACAGCCAATTTGGTTAAGGCAGCAGGCTAGGAACTTGAAGAGTGTGAATTCTAGTTCCACATTAGGCATGGAAGCTGGGGGCGAAGGGTTTGATATCGGGCCAATCGCCAGGTGACTGGGAGTTCTAGTCTCACCCTAGGCTATTTGTAAGTAACTCAGGCAGCAAACATATTCAACATACTGATCCTCCAATTTCCCCTAATTTCCCACACAATAATCACCCTGTGAGGGAAGCTCTGGCTGAGGGAGAGTGACTAGTTCCACTGACTTATCTTTTTAAGGCATGACTACCCTTATTTATCCTCTCCTAGTGACTGTCCCAAAATCATTCAGTTAGCTTTCATGCCTAGGTTGGGGGTAGAATTTATCATCTCCTGGTGATTGGCCCCAAATCACGCAGCCTAAGATAGGACCAGGACTCACTGTCACCCGGTGATTGGCTAAATGTCACTCAGCTGACTTTCATGCCTAATGCCACACTAGAACTCACATTTTCTGGTGATTTATCCAGTCACTTGTGCCTAAGGCAGGACTAGAACTCACTGTCTCCCCGGGAATTGGTTGAAAGTCAGCTTGTTTTCACGCCCAGCTCAGGACTACAACTCTCTGTCTGTTGATGATTGGTCCCAAATCACCCAGTTGGCTCCGATGGCTAGAATTCACCACCTCTGTTTCTAGTGCCTTGACCACTGGACTAAAGTGGCTCCCCTTTTTTTCTTATTTTCCAAGATACCTGAAGTTAGAATTGTGAGTTATGGGCCTCCTGCTCCTTTCATTAGAAACCCATAACATGTATCACATCTATGACAAAAGCTCAACACTCTCTCTTCTTTCCCTGGTGTAGCCCTTTCAGCTCGTCCAGCTCTTTTTCAAGTCCAGCTGGAGAACCAGGAAGTCAAGGAAGGGGCAACCATCACCCTGGCCACTGCGCTTACAAAACCCGATGTGCCCATCCAGTGGATGAAAGGCTCTGCCCAGCTGCAGCCAAGTCACAAGTACGAGATGAGGCAAAAGGCATCTTATGTGGAGTTGCTAATCCATGATGCGCAAGTGGAGGATGCAGGCCACTATACCTGTCAAACCGAGGATCAAGAGACCACTGCCTCTGTGCTTGTCAAAGGTCAGGAGGAGTCGATTTTGCTCACCTGAGATCAGACACTGACGACCAGACCGATACGCGAAGGGTTCCAATTAGCTGCTTTATTTTATATATTTATTTGTATAGTCCATTGGTTCTCTCTGTGCTTGGTCATTTTCTTGTAGATGTTTCATGACCTGACTAAGGAACATAATCAGTGCTAGAAAAGAGTGGGGTTTTGCAGGGAAGAGGATGATGATGATGACTGTGAGTCCTTGGGACTCTCTGAGCTTGGTTCTTTTCTTGCAGATATTACATGACCCAACTAGGGAACATCATTAGTGCTAGAAGGGAGTGGGGCTTATGGAGTAGGAAGAAGAGGACATCTGTGAGTTTTTGGAGCTCTCTGAGCTTCATTGTTTTCTTGCAGATTTTTTCTTGCAGATATGATGATGTTACCTAGCTGGATCATGCATCATCTGCAAGAAGACAACAAAAATCAGAAAGCCCTTAGGATTAACAGTCCTCTCCCTCCCCCTTTCCCTCTCTCCGCAATCACCACTCCCTTTCAATACTGATGATGTTAACTAGTTGGGTCATGAAATGCCTGTAAGAAAACCATCAAGCTGAAAAAGCATGGAGGACCATCCTGCTCCTCCTGCTCCTTTCTGTAATCACACCCTCTTGCAGCACTGATGATGTTATTTAGTTGGGTAATGAAATGTCTGCAAAACACAAGTAAAAACTGGGATGTAACAGTAGAATGTAATGGGATGTAAATTCATAGAGAAACAAATGAAATAAAAAGTTCTCTCTTTCAATTGTAGAAATACCAGCCACCATTGAAGAAGAATTGAAAGACCTCACCGTTCTTGAAGGAGAGGATGCTGTATTTCGCTGTGTGATTTCTCGCGAGAAGGCCAAAAACCTGCAATGGAGCTTGGCAGGTGTGCCTCTGCAATCCAATGAAATGAATCAAATTGGTGTGGAAGGCAAAATTCACACTCTTATTCTCCGAAAAGTCACCCTTGAAGACTCCGGCACTGTCAGTTTCCAAGTTGGTCAGAATTCAACACAGGCTCAGTTATTGGTGCAAGGTAAGTTAGTCAATTGTTCGGATGGACCTTGGTCTTCCACAGGGACATCCATGGGAAAATGTAGGTCAAAAAAATTAAGATGAGGTTGGCAACCACAAGAGAGGAGGAGGAGGAGGACAGGGAGGAGCAAGAACGGGAAGAGAACAACTGTGGGGTCCTTGGTGTTCTATAAGCGTTGTTGTTTCCTTGCATATCTTTTATAATCCAACTAGGTACCATCATCAGTTCTAGAAGGAAGCAGGGTTTGCTGTCTGTTTATATGGAAGTAACTTGCCCTGTCAGTATTGGTGGTAATGTTCTTGGTGATTCCTTGATTAGACTTGTTTACCGTTAGCTTGTTTGTCTGAGTTGGTAGTTTTATGATTGAGGTTGTCACTGCCCCTTCATTTAATAACCAAGAAAGAGACCACTCGAGTCCATATTTCAGAATTAAGTGTACTTATACTGGTTACAAACGAAAAGAAGCAAAGCAAAGCTGAATCTGAATAAAAAGGCGCGAAAGCAATAGATATCAATACAAGATTCAATCCCCTCCCCTTGGCACCCCAGTCCATAGTCCAATCATAATTCACCCAACTGTCAGGTGGGAGACATCTTCGAAAATCATCATCAGGATGGAATGCTGGACAGTTGGCCTTGGCGGGAAACTCCCTTCCTTCCGCATGGCAAAGAGATGGTGAGAGTAACTCCCTAATTAAACAGCCCTCCAGCACATAATGATTAACGGCAGCCGAAAAGCAGCAGCGAAGCAGAGGCTGACAGAGGTATTGTTTACTTCTTGACTGTTGGTCTCTAGTATCAGTCTTGGTGTTAATATCTGCTCATCTGGGTGTTGATTTTGGCGAGGTGTTCTGATCTTTTACATTTTTAATTATTGCTTTTGAATGATGTGTAAACATTCTTCATTTCAATGTGCCTGTTGATGACCCATTTGTCTGAGTGCCAGGTTTGCAGGAACTCTCCAGTATTGGACTTGGCTTGTTACAGGATGCTGTCAATTTTCAAATTACTGTGTCCAGTTAAGGAGCCTTCATTGTGTCTTCTGATGGCATGTTGGTATTCATAGATGCTCTCTGTGATCTTCTGCCTGGTTGTCCTACAAAGTGGCCATTAACAGGAACCTAGAAATAAGGAAAAATTTTCTGACAGTAAGAATAATCAATCAGTGGAACAGAAGTTGCCTTCGGAAGTTGTGGGAGCTTCATCACTGGAGGCTTTCTAGAAGAGTTTGGACTGCCATTTGTCAGAAATGGGCTGAACTAGATGACCTACAAGGTCCCTTTCAACTCTATTAATCTGTTAGTTAGTAATTACATTCCTTGTATTGTACAGGTAATCTTTAATGTAGAACCATAATTGAGCCCAAAATTTTTGTTGTTAAGTGAGGCATTTGCTAAGTGAGATTTGTTCCATTTTGTGACATGTCTTGGCACAGTTGTTAAATGAATCACTGCAGTTGTTCAGTTAATAACACATTTGTTAATGTGTTTCCCAATTGACTTTCCTTGTCAGAAGATTACAAAACCCTGAGACCCTCCAACCATCATAAATATGAGGCAGTTGACAAGCATCTGAATTTTGACCATGTGACCTTAAGGGATGCTGCAATGGTCACATGTGTGCAAAACGGTCATAAGTAATTTCTTTCACAGCTGTTGTAACTTTGAACAGTCGCTAAATGAACTATTGCAAGTCGAGGATTATCTGTACATTGGAGGTGACTTTTATGGTCTATATGCTCAACAGAAGTCTCTTTTCCTTCTCTGTAGTTGCACCGGTAACCTTCCTAAAAAAGCTGGAGAATGCAGAAGTAGCCGAAAACGGCATGGCAACCTTCCGCTGTCAGCTTTCCAAACCTGGGATCCCAGTGGAGTGGAGAAAGGGATCGTCCCTAATCCAGCCCAGCGAGAAGTTTGAAGTCAAGACTGAAGGCAATGCCTACATTTTGATCATCCATGATGTGGCCCCAGAAGACTCAGGAGACTATATCTGCAGTGCAGCTGACAAGAAAACCACTGCTAAGCTAAAAGTTAAAGGTGAGTGTAGCCATTGGAGAACTATTGACATAAATAATAGAATCATAAGGATGAAAAGGACGTTGGAGGTCTTCTAGTCTAATCCTCTGCCCAAGGCAGGAGTCCTGATAACCTCCTGGACAAATGATTGTCCAATCTTATCTTTGAAAACCTTTAGCAATGGAGCATCCCCAACTTCTGACGGCTTCATTCCATTGGTTAATTCTCCTCACTGTCACTTCACTTCCCCGTCATCTCATCTCCTGCCCTACTTATTTTAGATCCTGTTTCTCTCTCTTCATCTGTCCGTTTCACCTTCGGAGACCTATTCTGGTTTACCAGTTTACCATTTTGTTTAATATTTCAGGGTTTAAGATAGTGTAATTGCTTGATGGTATCTTTTCAGCGCATTTATGTATATGGAAACTATACAGATATCCCTTGAATGACAACCATTCATTTAGCGATCATTTGAAGTTACAATAAACCTGGGAAAAAAGGACCATTTTTCACACGTGACTACTGCAGCATCCCCAGGGTCATGTGATCAAAATTCAGATGCTTGGCAACTGATGGTTGCAGTGTCCCACTGTCCCAGGTTCATGTAATCTCCATTTGTGGCGTCCGACAAGCAAAGTCAATGGCAAAAACCCGATTCACTTAACAACTGTGTGATTCACTTAACGTCTGCAGTGATTTACTTTACAACTATGGTTAAAAGGTCATAAAATTGGCCCTGACTCACTTAACAACCACCTTGTTTAGCAACAGAAGTTCTACCTCCCATTGTGGTCAACAGTCGAGGTCTATCAAGATGGTCATCAACACGAGGACTGGTTGTAAATCACTTTTTCCAGGGTTGTTGTAACTTTGAACATTCACAAAAGGAGTGGCTGTAAACAGAGGACTGCCCATATAGGTAATCAAGAAAAAAATAATACCTTCGGCCATCCTGCATTTGGGGAGAATTGGAGGTGCTCTATCACTGGAAGTTTTCAAGAAGAATTTGGGCAGTCGTTTGTCTGAAATAGTATAGGGTCTCCTGCTTGAGCAGAGGGTTGGACTAGATGACCTCCAAGGTACCTTCCCACTTTGTTATTTTATGATTCTATTCTCCAAAGCACCCGAGAGCAAGTCAAGTAATGGATGGAAATTAATCAGGAAGAGAACCAACCTGTTAATCAGTGGAATGGCGCCTCCAGAAATTGTGGATGCCCCATTAATGGAGGTTTTTAAAGAAGAGATTGGACAATTATTTGTCTGAAATGATATAGGGTCTCCTGCTTGAGGAGTGGGTCAGACTAGAGGACCTCTAACGCGCCTTCCCATTTTGTTATTCTGTATTCTGGTTAATGGGCTTTCACTCAACAAGGTCTCTTTTAGTGTCTGCCTGCTCTTTCAGCTCTGCCGGTGCTCTTCAAAAGAGGTCTGCAGAACAAGGAAGTTGAAGTAGGGAACACTGTGTCGTTGTGTTGTGAGTTGTCCAAGCCGATGTCACCTGTGGTGTGGAAAAAAGGAAACACGAAGCTTCAGTCGAGTGAGAAGTACGAGATCAGGCAAGAAGGGAACTTTGCCGAGCTTCTCATTTATGACCTGGAAATTCAGGACGATGGCGACTATACCTGTGACTCAGGAGACCAGCAGACCACTGCCACAGTGAAGGTCAAAGGTAGGAAAAGCTGGGCGAGTTCCAGGGACATCTGTCTTCGATAGAAGAGAGGATTGTAGTATGGGATTGAACAATGGGGTCCTCGGTGCTCTCTGAGCTTGTGGTTTTGTTGCAGACATGACCCAACTAGCAATAGCAATAGCAGTTAGACTTATATACCGCTTCATAGGGCTTTCAGCCCTCTCTAAGCGGTTTACAGAGTCAGCCAGGGGTGGGTTTCAACCGGTTCGCACCGGTCCCTGCGATCCGGTTGGTTGCCGAACCCGGAAGTAAGTAACTTCCGGGAACGGCGAAGCCCCCACCCCCCGCGCCCGCGCGCACCCGCACACCCGCGCCCGCTCCTTACCCGGTTTTTACAAATTCTGCACTTCCAAGCATGCGCAGACCGCATACAGCGCCTGCGCGATCCTCCAGGAGCAGCTGGAGCATCGCACAGTACGCATGCACGCGCACACCACGTGTGTGCATGAGGACGCCGCATGCGTGCGCGAGGACGCCGTGTGCGTGCGCGAGGACGCCGTGTGCGTGCGCGAGGAC